TTCAAATATGAATTATACTAATTGTAGTATTTTCTCATATACTTTATTAAAATAATACAATTTTAAAGTAATTTTTTTATTAATTTTTAAGGCATTTTACTAACTTATAACTTTAGGTTACGGTTAAAGGTATATTTATTATACATTTTTACGACATAATTTAATATATCATCTATTAACTATTGATCTTTTTTCATTTTAGTTTAGAATCTTTTTTTTTTTATCAAAATCATCTATTAACTTTGAAAAAAGTATTAATTTCGTTTACATACTAATCATATTTTTGTTAGTTAAATTAATGAAAGTCAAGGTCATTGCTTATATGGCACCATATAAGCTTCCAACATAGCCCCACATGGGCAAAAAAGGAGGGAAAATTATGAAAAAATGCAAGCATTTAAAGAAACAATATCATGTTGTAAAATAAAGAAAAAAGGTAGAAGAAGAATATGATTTAGAAAACAAAGGAATGCAAAGAGACCATAAAGAGATTGTTATTTCTTCTTCATTCTTCCATCTCTTTCCCATATAATAACAAGCCCTATATATAGGGTAGTAGAATGGTAGACTTTACAAGAGTTACAAAATAAGAGTTAATCACCTACTAAAAAGAATAGGAAAATAATTGATATACCCTCCAGTTCTACACACTCCATAATATACTTATTAAGAAACAATTATTTTCAAATTTAAATTAAAGGCAAAAAAACTAAAAGCTATAGATTTTAATAATTGAACCAGTAGGTATTGTGAGACGTAGTGAACTAAAAGGTATATTAATCATTTTCCATAACAATAATTCACCATGTACATGCATGAGATTATAGGATGTTAATCACCCCTGTAATCGCATAGAGTTAGTGGAAGTTACACCATTACTTGGTGTGTGAATGCCATGGAAAGTAGGGAGGTGGAAGATGAGGAAGGTTAAATATCCACAAACTAAAAGATTCATAATATATATGAAAAAAAATCACCAAACTTCTTTGTAAAACTCCTCTTTTTGAAAAATACTTTGTCCTTAAATATGCAAGATCTCCTCCTCTTTTTGGACACATGGTGCTTAGTTGGCTGCTTACATGGCACCACATAACCAATGAAATTGACTTCCTATCAAGCTAACTAATAGAATTGTGATGGGTAGAGGAAATTGATACAATTTTCAAAGTTAATAGACAATTTTGGTATGTAGAAAATAAAGATTTTATAGTAAAATGAAAAAAAAAAAAGTTAACAGACCATTTATTAAATTAAACCCACTTTCATCATTAATTTTTATAAAAAAATTATAAAAGTAAACTTTATTCTTAAAATCAATACTAAGTGGAACGATTTAAGTGGATAGTAGATAAAATATTTAAATCAATTTTTATTTTTTCATGTAAATTAATAATAAAAAAGCACAATAAAATTCTATTGTTAAGAGGTAAAAGGATAAGCACTAATCTATCAATTAATTAGCAAGTATCTAGAAGATCAACCTTAACTAATGAAAATTACTATATAGTACGGCTGTCGATGAAAATGAACTGCAGATCTTAGAAAAAGAGTAGCCTCTTGTTCTGGTGCATATCATCTCGTTCATCTCTTGCCATTGTCTTGATTTGTTATGGAAATTGCAAATTTTTAAGTCTACATATAATTGGCACACGTTTCCTAAATTGGTAACACACTTTGTTATGGGTTTCATGAAAACTATTTATGCAAATTATTATTAATGACACTTTTTTTTTTGTAATTAACTTAGAGAAAACACAAAAGTTAATATTTATTTTAATATTATTGTAATGTAAATAATTTTAATTGGTCAATTGATTTAATTAAAGTCATCATTTATATTTTTTATACAAATTAATTATAAATACACTTCAATGGGAAACGGGTTAGAAAAAATCAAAAAACATAATATGCACTCACAAGACAAGACTAACTTGCATTCCATTAAGAAGAGTTTGAGTAAGTTAATATTTACTAATTTAAAATTTTTAATTTAGAGTTAACTTTAGGGATAAAAACCACTACAACTCCCTTAGATTGCTTAGAGAGGTGGTAGTCTCAAGATGCGTAAAAGTTGATTAAAAAACACTCTAATTATAAATATTAAAAAAATTTAAATTAAATGAAGGTCAAACTTGACATAAAAAAAAATGGAAAGTCAAACCCCAAACCTACCTTGTAATTAAGTTGGGCAACTTGTCCATATATATAGTTAGAGGATAGATCTATCTCTACCTCATGGGGGGTGGATTTGAGAGTTTAGAGTTAAATGAAAAGGTCAATGTAGAGGTTGAAATGAATTTCTTGTATTCCATGAGATTGTTTTTAAAAGTAGATGCATTTTTTAAACTTTAGGTTGCACTACGAAGAGTAAACATCTCTTTCCTTATCTCACTCAAAACAAGGTGGAGGAGTTCCTTCTTTCACTATGAGGTTCTTACTTAGTGATTTTAAGTTTGTTGGCCAAAATACATCAAATTATATAAATCTATACATATATATAAATTGGTGTTTGTTTGTCAGATTTTTTTAAAAATTAGAAGGACAAATACCTTAAATTATGTTTTTTCATTAATGTATCATAGAAAATAGCAAAACAACTCAATTCTGATTTAAAAATAGGTTATTTTTTTGTCTTTTTTCAATGGGAGTTAATTGAAACAATATAGTTTTTGGGTCTTTTTCCTTCTTAACTATTCATCTCTTCACTTTAGTTGAAATTTATTCACATTATTAGACATAATATATATAGTAGGGATCAATTTACACACAAATCTTACACATCATATTTATCTAAAATCTCAACAATTCATCTTTCTATTTTAAATGGTTGAGATTGATTAATATTTATTAAAGGTGATAAATATTATGTATAAATTAAAAACACCGATACATACACCCTTCAAAAGTTACACACTCCGTTACAAACTGATGGTTTTCATTAGTTTGTTGTTAAAATTGATGGAAACCATTAGTTTTAACAGCAAAAATAATGAAAATCGTTAGTTTCAACAGTAAAAGTAACAGAAACCGTTAATTTTAACAGCATACTAATGGAAACCATTAGTGTATAACGGAGTGTGCAACTTTGGAGGGTGTATATATTATTTTTCATAAATTAATCCCTCCTTATATATATTAATATGGAAAATGATTGGTACACCTTACAGTTCAACACACCTAAAAACACCCACTGATTCAGTCATTAAAATTTATCTTTGAAAATTTTCCTACCATGAATTCAAATTTGAAAATATTAGTTTTTTAATAACTGAACTAGTGGATATAGTTAGGTGTGTTGAACCAAAAAATGTATTAATCATTGTCCATATATATTAATGTTTATTAGGTCGATTGGAATTTTAAAAAACTAGAAGAAAAACTAAAAAATTATGTTGTTTCAATAAGGCAGCATGACAAAAGACAAACAATCTCATTCATACTTTAACAATATGGAATAGTGGATATTACCCTATATTGTAAAATATTAGGTAGAAAAAAAATTGCAAAATTCCATTGTTCTAATAGAGTCCAATTAATTACCCACGAGTGGGTGGATGAGTTAGCAAGAGACTCTTCCAGCTTAACCAGAGGTCTTGGTTTCAAGTACTGGGACTGCAGTTCTGTTAAAACTCGTGAGGGAGAGTTTTGCTACCTGTTGGGTCTTGCTCGGCTCGAATCCAGATTAGTTGGTGGCCCAGTGAGTTTTCGGATACAGGGTGGTCCAAACAAAAAAGAAAAAAAATAGAGTCCAATTAAAAAAAGACTAAAATATCTTAATTTTTAAAGCAAGAATAACTTTGTTTTAGTCTTTTTATGTGGTGTTTTATTAAACAATGTAGTTTTAGGATATTTTTCTACATAATCATTTTAAAATACAAGTTGATACCTATTAATCTCTTAAAAATAAGTTATTTTAATATTTTTCAATAGAAATTTATTGAAACAACATAGTTTTGAGGTATTTTTTCTTCCAATTTTTTAGAGGTCTGGCTAATAAATGCTTTTCCCATACGTACATATGGAAAAAATGTTGTGTAGTTCGTATCGTACCAAATAGCACAATATTAACAATTGGATGGAGATTGGGCCCTGATATTAGAGGTCTAACTTTCATCTAATGATCCCTATTTTACAGTCCAATATAATCTAAATTGTAAAACAAAATTCCCTATATGTATATACAAAAATTAATCTCAAAAAGTATAAAAATTAATTAAGGACATTTGACTACCCAAAGAAAAATTGATTTAATTATATGTATTCGCTGAGATGTTTCCTTTAAAATAAAGTTAACACGACCAAATGAATCACCCATAATGTGTGTTGGAGTATTGAACCCAATATATTCATCAGTAAGTCAAAGCTAATTTCTAGATGCTTCCATGGCATGAAGCTAGTTGATCTCCTATTCTTATTATTTCTTAGGAAAATGATTAATGCACACTACAAAGTTGCACACTTCGTTACATACTAACAGTTTTCATTACTTGTGCCGTTAAAATTGACAGTTTCCACTACTTGTGTTGTTAAAATTGACAATTTTCGTTTTTTATACTGTTAAAATTAACAGTTTCCATTATACACTAACGATTTTTGTCAGTGTGTAATAGAGTTTGTAGGGGTGCATGTATCATTGTCATATTCCCCAACATTTTTTCGTTCTCTTATTTTTTATTTACAATTCTTGAGTTTTCTAGGATTTTATTTTATTTTTAATCTAGTAGAAAGCTCAAAAATTATAAAAACTGTAAATCATAGGAGCATAAATTTAGTGAGGAAAGTAAAATTAAAAATTATATAATTAAGATATGCAAGCAAGTCACTTTCTTTTGCAGTCACTTTTTCTTCTTTTTTTTTTTAACACACTCATTGTGTGAGTAATTCACATGGTATATATTTTTCTATTAATTAAAATGAAGAATTTTATATTGATTAATTAAGGAAGAATTTATAGATTTAAATATAGTATGTAAATTACTCAATCTATTGTCAATTTATTCAATGTTGAACACTCTTTATTCATGATATCAATAGTTAGTCTTGTTTAGGCAGCTTTATGAGCTCTAGTTGATCAAGAGTTAACCAATGAGGGGACCTGCAAAACAGACTCGAGGATTGTCCTTCAAGGTAGATACTCTGATGCCCAAGTTACCAATATTCTATACTTGGGGCTCTCTTTAGAGAGAGAAGTATAATAGAGAGAGAAGAGCTCTCGAAGAAGTCCTCTACCTTTGAGAGGTGTGGGGTATTTATAGATTCCTTGAGAATGCTTTACAAAAGGATTTGAGGAATGACGACATGGAACCAAGAATCTGAGTAATGACGACTTGGAACCAAGAAGCTTAGTAATAATGACCTAGAAACCAGGAATCTAAGTAACGACAACCTTGAACCCAGGATATAAGGGAAGATGACTTGGAACCAAGAATCTGAGGAAAGATGACCTGGAACCAAGAAGTTGAGGAAGGATGACTTGGAACCAAGAAGCTGAGTAATGACGACCTGGAACCAGGAAGCTGAGTAATGACGACCTGGAACCAAGAAGTTGAGGAAGGATGACTTGGAACCAAGAAGCTGAGTAATGACGACCTGGAACCAGGAAGTTGAGTAATGACGACCTGGAACCAGGGATATGAGGAATGACAACCTGGAAACCAAGAAGCTGAGAGATGATGACCTAGAATCAGGGATCTGAGTTGGAGCTGAAAGTGATAACCTGGAACTAGGAAGCTGAGGAATGATGACTTGGAACCAAGAAGCTGAGAGTGATGACTTGAAACTAGGGAGGTAAAGGCAATCATCACTCATCTCCTCCTTCCCTCATTCTAGGGATCTGAGGGAGCTGAGAGTGACGACTTGGTTCCGCAAATCTAGCTTCTCCTTCTCCCTTCTTGGTCAACAATGACAACAAAGCATGAAAGCTTTTTATTCGATTCCCATGGACGGCGCCATTTGTTTGGGCAGCTTCATGAGCTCTAGTTGATTATGAGTTGACCAGTGAAGGGAATTGCAAAATAGATTTGAGGGTTGTCTCTCGGGGTAGACACTCTGATACCCAAGTTAGCAATATTCTATACTTGGTACTCTCTTTAGAGAGAGAAGAGCTCTCGGAGGAGTGCTTTACACGTGTTACACTTCTATTGGTCCTTTGGATCCATTTAAGTGTATATCAACTTCATGGTGACTCATGCATATGCTTCTTTGTATTTGGGCCTGATGGGCCTTTATTGTGTTTATGGACTAGTTAGATTATTATCCCACCAAGTCTCATTTTTTATAAAAGAACGTGCTGTTTTATAATTTAAATTAATACCAAATATAAGTATAAAATGAACAAAAACTAATAGTGAATGCAAAGTATAGACTATTGAATAACAGAGGTAGAAGCCAACCAAAAACAAAGCCACAAAATTTCTCTTATTCACTGATCTATGTTTAGTTTTTTTATAAAATAAAAAAAAAATTATTCTAATTTTACAATATAAACCGTGAAAGTAATTTTTTTTCTAAATTCCATTTGTTATTGAGGACATGACAAGACTGTTTACAGCTACCAAATTTTAAATTGTATGTTCCTTTATCTCCTTGGCCCTTCTGCATTTTGCCGCAACCTGATGACCTTTCTAAAACTCAAAGACAGATGATTCTAAAATTCTAAATTCTATAAATTATTTTTAAAAAAATTTAAAATATGGAATCTAGAAGTGCAAATGGAAAGGCGACACATAAGCCCTAAGAAGACACAGATGACACAAAAGTATCCTACACCATTTTTAATGTTCTATCCAGGAGGTGGGGTTAACTAAACTGTTGCAGTTCCTATGCTGGTTACACGTGATTCTGTGGGTAGCCTTTTCTGGCGGTAGAAGCACAAGCAGAAGCATTTCCCCCCAATTCCAAATCTAACGGTCAGCCCATCACGTGGTCTCACCCAAACATCCTCACATTTCTCAGTCTGTTGGTCCACCAGAATTTAATCTTTTTTATTTTTTTTTTCATAAATTTAGAATTTTGGTAAAATTGTTTCATCAAAAAAAGGAAAAAAAGAATTTGGTAAAACTAATTAGGCTAATACTATATTTAATTCTTATTGGTAAATATTTTCCATTTGTAGTACTTGGGTAGGTTTTGCTGTTTTCTGCAGAGATAAAATATTGTTCAACTGGGTTTTTACAGTACTCTTGCAGTTACCCAAAAAAGATTGGGAAAATTGGTTTTTATTTGATATAGGAAGTTGGAAGGCAAGATTCGTCAGAAACGAATATATGTTCACCTTAACTTATGTTCTTTTAAACCTGGCCGTTCGGGTTAGTAAGTAGTAGAAATTGATGTAAATCATATTGAAAATATACTTTTAAAATTTTATTTAAATTTATGAGTAAAAATTGAAAGGTGAAATATATATGAGGTGGTAGAAAGTTTTAATTGGAAATTAATTTATGGGAAATTAAAAAAATGAATCTAACTTCCTATAGTTAGAAAGTGGGGGAAAGTGAGGGAAAGTAGGCTTATCCAACCCCATCCATGAGACACATTATCTTGCTGGCTCTTCTACCTGAAAGTCAAGCTACGTGCCGGGTTCTTCTCGTTTATATTCTTTCCACTCATCCACTTGCTTTTCCCGTACCTGGTTTTTCAACTCTCTCCTTCTGTCTTGTTTTGCCTATTTACATATTCAGCGTATTATTCAATGAGAAAACCTTGTTGTGAGAAGAAGGAAACCAACAAAGGAGCATGGTCTAAACAGGAAGACCAGAAGCTGATTGACCATATCCAGAAACATGGTGAAGGCTGCTGGCGCTCCCTTCCTCAGGCTGCAGGTATAAATTTGTATATAGGTCCACATATGTTTATGTTTTCTAGTTCATTATATTCCTCACTGATAAAAATCATTCGGTATGTTACTCAGGGTTGCTTCGTTGTGGTAAAAGTTGTCGATTGAGATGGGTGAATTACCTCAGGCCAGACCTTAAACGTGGTAACTTTGGAGAAGACGAGGAGGAGCTCATCATCAAACTTCATGCACTTCTGGGGAATAGGTAAGCCTGTACCTAGCATGATTTAATTCACTAAAAATATTTTCATGAAAGTAATAGCTCATTAATCTGTAAGCAATGAATTATTTAGAAATAGATAAAAAAGATAGTACCTTTAAAAAAAATATTATATATAAAATGTCTCCATTTCTGATGAAGTTGTATACCTGTAAGTTGTGTTCCTACGAAAAGAAAAAGGGTTTCATCCATCTATCCCTGAATATTTCACTTCTGTATGTATGCATTGTTTAGTTAACATAGTTTAAATTTTCATGAAGTTATTTCGAACCTAAAAAAGAGTTCTCTTTTAGTTTCAGTGCAATAGGGAATGTGGGATTGGGGTAGATGCAAAGACAAAATATAGAAAAGATAAAGACGCTTCAACTAATTTTAGGTGGAATATCCTTAACATTCACGGATCGACATAGCAGTTTTAATTAAGACGCTTAAGCTCGGGTATCTAATTACTTTACTTTACCATCCAAGGCAGTAAATTTATATGATACATGTAAATTTTGTATAACATTGAAGACTATAGAAGTTATCTAGAGTACTGTGCCTTTGGATGTATTCTATTTTCTTTCTACCTTAGTAAAATGTTTTTGCAAAAAAAAAAAAAAAAAAAAACCCTAAAACTATGTTTAGACAAATTCTTATGTTGCTGTGCAAAATCCAGTTATTTGATTCCTTGTACCGACATAATATATTAATTAATGGGTAATATTTGCAAATGTTTAGGTGGTCTTTGATAGCAGGAAGATTACCGGGACGGACAGACAATGAAGTGAAGAATTATTGGAACACACATTTGAAAAAAAAGCTCATAAAAAGAGGGATTGATCCAAATAACGATCGATTAGCACATTATTCTGCTGGTGCTCCCAAATCATGTCTGTCGAATTCAAATAGTATTCGTACAAGCCCAGTAAACTTCAATGGCGATGATGACAATAATGTGGGTGGCTCGGATTCGTCCATGGACCCAAAATGCAACCAGACAAGCAGTTTACCAGACCTAAATCTAGATCTTACTGTAGCTCCTCCTCCTATGGAATATGTGGGATCCTGATGCAGTTTGTTTTGCCGTATATTTGCAATATGTCTCTGGAACATAACTTCTGTTACGTGCTACATATTTACTTCAATAGAAAATTAGAATTCCTCATTTCTATTTTAAAAAAAATTATACCAATTGCAACAATTGTGACAGTGGAGTTCATGGATTTCTTGACTGAATGGAAATGGGAAGAAAATGTGAGAGAGAGGCGCAGGACTAGGTTAGGGGCGCGCCTGCAACTCGGGGACGAGGAAATCGGAAGCAGTTACCTAACGGTATACATTACTAACGGGCTTGGGGCCAGCCTGGGTCAAACCAGGCCAGGTAGGTTAGTCCTCGCAGCAACTCGAGACTGGTCCTCGTCGCAACTCGAGACTGGTCCTCGTCCTAGGAGATAAATAATAATAATAATAATAATAATAATTATTATTATTATTATTATTATTTTGTAATTTGTATTGTATAATTTAAATTACTAAGCATAAAATATGTTTCTTAATGTTAGTTATGTCTTTC